TAATGTATTCAGAACATGTGGATCTGTGGAGTCTGTAGTTGAAGACGAGGGAAAACACAGGGAATTGTGGGAAAATGAAACGCATGGACCAAGGTTGATGAATAAGTGAATGTGATCATTTTGACGTAATGTTTTTACCCCGAGAGGCGTATGACGATTACTGCACGGTGGTTGTCTGCAGGGAAAAAAGGGCTCAGGTGGAGGCATCTTCAAATTTTCCATCAAGCTCCAACTTAAGATTTTCCTTAAAATAAAAACTGTTGCACAAAACAAAAAACAAGTCTTCTCTTAAGGTTTCCTAAATTTCTCTTAAGTATTTAATTGCAACGTGGTTTTGTTAGGTCCAATGACCTGACCTTGACCCACAATCTGTAATCCAGTTCTTCTTTCATCTTTAAGTCCCAATTGACGAAATTTGCCTTCAAGGCGTGTTTGAGATATCACGTTCATGAGAATGAGACACGAAAACAAAACAAAAAAACACATTTTCTACAGTGTTTTCCTAATTATAGAAACAAAGTTATAAAGTTAATAAAGTTCATTTTTGAGACAGAATTCGATAGTATTGAATCCATCATGGACTTTTTGTTCAAATTATGTGCTGATATTTGCAACACAGACAAAGAGCTTCTGTTGCAATTTTGCAACCGCTCTCTCTCACACAAATCCACCAAAAAGCAAAAAATGAAAAACCTGTTATTTTGATGATCAGGACTGCTTCAAAAAGACTTTAAAAAGGAGAAGGAAAATGACATCCTAACATTCAATGCTTGAGTTTCAGAGGGTTAAGGTTTCTCTTATCTAGACTTATATTTAAGGAATCACTTAAAGTCCGTTAAGATCTTAGTAACAAAATAAGGAAAAAAACTTAAGGTTCCTCTGATGATCTTAACCTCAAATCGTCTGAGTTAACTGGTGATAATGAAGAAGGATATTTCTCGATCAGAAGAACCTGCATGGAGCTTCAACGATGAGGAACTTGGATTTTGCGTCCTAATCTTTGATTCGGCCGTCCCAGTTTTCTGACTTTGTCGCGACCTATCTAGACTTTCTTCACACAAAGTTTCCTTACGTTACGGAAACCTTTCCTTTTTAACGGCGTAAATAGACGGTTTACGTGCTTTGTTGTTGCTGGCTTCGATAAGCAGAAAAACCCCTTAAATACTTACTTAATTTTACTATTTAAGGAAACCTTAAAGGAGATTTACAGTATCTTTTGTGCAAATTTTTTATTTTAAGCGAAATCTTAAATCAGAACTAAAAAAATCATTAACTTTAAGGTGTTTTGTGCTACTGGCCCTGAGCTTAAAACGAGCAGTGAGGACTATGTAATTTGGTGATGTTCACAAGAAAGCAGTTACTGGCCCCTTCATCCCGCCCACTCCTTGAGGAGTGTTTCCTGAAATCTGCTATATTTTTTAATTGTGATTACTCAAAAACAGTACAGCCAATCAGAAGAGAGGTCAGAGGCTCCTAATGATATGATTCATTAATTAACATGAGCTGGACTGGATCAGTGTCAGGGTCAGGACTCAGACTGGATGAATGATCAAGATAAAAAATTTATTCATTTATTTTAAGCAGCTAATATTTTGTTTCAAACAGTTAATTTTCAATCTGCCCAGCTTTTTTTAAATGATGTGTGTATATTACATACTGTATATGTTTACTTGAAGCGCACCTGTGTTATTAGGTACAAGGAAGACACAAGATCAACTGATCCAATACAACAGGTCAGGTATAAATCCACCTGTACAAAGATGATCCTGTTCAGATCTGACATCTTATTATTAATAATAATGAATAATGATGAATTCATATATTATTTCTTTATATGTTGGATCAGTGTTTCAGGTCTAGACTCAGTCCTGGACTCTGCTCAGACGCCTGGCTTTTCACTCAGGGTTCGGTTGTGACTTTTCCTGGAACCTGAAGTCTCTGGGCCTCAAATCCATCTCAACCGTGACTGAAGTCCCCGTGGCCCTCCCTCCCCTTCTCTGTGACCTGACGTGGAAGTGAGGGATCAAAGGTTTCCAGTTAGAGAGGAAGTCTTATCTGGGCATCGCCTCTGGTGCCACTGACTTCCTCCCACAGAGATATGACAGTCTGGAGGCGCCCGTCACACACTGTCACATCAGCGGGCCAGAAAATTACCCAAATACTGCAATTCAACTGCAGGGGGGGGGGGTGGGGGGTCACCTTTCTTTAGGTCCTTTGGATAAAAGCCTCAAATAAAAAAAAAAAAACACAAGTCTGTGGAGGAACATTTGTCTCCATCCTCTGCAGAGTCATGGTCTGATCCAGCTGACTGTAGAATATTTTTCAGCGGTTTATCGTCCGTGAAAGGCATCACTTTCCTTTGGCACTACATTTGTCAACGCTGAACTACCATATTCTACGCACAAGTTCACTACGGAGCACACTGTATTACACAGCTTTCTGATTGACTCAGCTGACCCAAGTGGCAACCTTCAAGGCTGAAAAACACGCAAGTACCAAAACTGCACCTTACCGAATGACCACTAGAGTCTGGCACCAACAGTGAGTCAATCCCCATAGATCCCATGTTAAGATGTCCAACTTTACAGCAAAAAATGTTTACAGCTGGATCAAAAACTGGTCTCTACAGGTACTTTCCTCCTTCATGACAACGGTTAGGGGGTGTGAATTTTTGTTCAACCTTTACTCGTTTAAATTTTATCAGGGTTTAAAGTTCATAAGTGCGGGTGTGCTAACTGGTAGAATGCTGATCAGAATATTACCAATTACTGTATATATGACTACCTCACACAACTATCCTTTAAACATGCAGACGAGGTGAAAGTGTTAAATCAGGTCATTTTAACACGAGGAAGTCAAAGTCCAGGTCAGTCAGAAGCTTTTAGATGATGTCTTGGTTGAGGCTGTTGTCACGGTAAAAGTTTGGTGATTTTAGTGGAGACTGTCCTCCTATAACAAACAAGCCCGCAGGTCGTCTGTTGCTAGGCAACATCTAGTGGTTGCAGTAATTATGACAGGAGCAAAGGGAAAGGTGCAGTGACGTAGTATAAGAGAAACTAAGTCCACGTCAGGAGGAGGTTGTGGTGGATGGATGAATATGACACAGGGAGCAGTGTTCGATTCCCATGTGAAAGTAGCTGTTTATGTTGTTGTCTATTTATCCATGGCCGTTCGTTATTATTATAACATGACATCAAAGATTGTCTAATGTTGAGGAAGAACTTATTTCAACCAAAATCACATTATTTTCCTAAACCTAACCAAGCCATGACCATTATAGTAACCACGGCAACGAACGGTATGCTGCTTTTTCGGTACAGTTGCATGTTTATTATGGTAACCTCGAC